CCCAGGTGCCGCCGGACGGCGCAGCGGGCCAGGTGCTGCAGCCGGCGCGGCCGGCCTGCCATGCGCACTGCCGAGGCGTAGAAATCCCGGTGCTCCTGGAAAAGATGGGGGGGAGACAGGACACAGAGGGGTGAGCGAGCTGGGGTTGGGGGGGGACACCCACGTCAGGGTACCCTGCACCCCCTTACCTCCCACAGCTCCGGGGGCACGGTCCCCACCCAGCCCTCGGCAGGGGGAATGCGGTCGTAGGCGTTGAGAACCACCTCCAGCGCCGGCGGGTGCCGGCAGCAGAACTTGAGCATCTGGTGACAGAGATGTGTCACCAAGGGGGACACACACACACACCGCCGTGACCCCGTCACCCTCCCCAGCACGCTCCCCCCCACCCAAATTGCCCACCTTGGGGTGGACAGGGCCGGCGCCGTGGTTGAGGAGGAGGGTGATGGTTTCCTCGGGGCGCTGGTGCCGGTACTCCTCGACGGCGTGGAGGGCGCAGTCCATGGGGGTGTAACCGGCGCAGTTGGGGACGGTGGCATCGGCCCCGTGCCGCAACAGCAGCCGCACCAACCTGGCTTGCCCGTTACCGCAGGCGTTGTGCAACGGCGTGTGATCCTTGCGGCCGGCGGCACCGGGATCGGCACCGGCCGCCAACAACCGCTCGACCACCTGGTAGTAACGCTCGGCATCCTCGGGGCGCTCGGCGGCCGAGCAGGCGGCGTTGAGGGGGGTCTCGCCTTGGCGGCTGCGACGGGCAGGATCGGCGCCGTGTCGCAGGTACAGCTCCACGTGGGCCACCAGCCCCTGCCGCGCCGCCACGTGCAGGGCCGTCAGCTGCCGGTCCCTCGTCCCCAGGTTCACCCGTGCCCCGTGCGCCAGCAGCAGCTCCGCGCACCTGGGGATGGATAGACATGGGTGAGCTGGGGCTGGGGGCCCCCCCAGAGCCCCCTTTCGCCCCCTGGGGCCCCCCCCCCGGGACCACCATCACCCCCGGGTTCCCCCCACCCCAGGACCACCGGGATGCAGGTGAGTGCTGCAGCGTGGGGTTGCAAACATCGAGTCCCACCAGGGAGCCCCGGGACCTGGAAGGGCGGGGCTTGACTTTAGGGGGCGGGGTT